CCTCTCTCTCTCTCTCTCTCTCTCTCTCTCTCTCTCTCTCTCTCTCTCTCTCTTGTTTCCGCTTGCGCGCGTGCGGAAGCTGTCTCTCTATCCTTCATAAACAGAAATGCGGGGTCGGAAAGAGGACGAAGGGGGCGCAGCGACAAGTCTGTCTGCCTGTGTGTCTCTCTCACAGTTTTTGCCGCCGGGATCGTTGACGCGCTTGTCGTTGGCGGGGGATGATGGTGGACGGATGGCGTGGTGATGAGCGATGATGGCAAGGTTGAGGAGAGGCGGTTTCGCGTGGGAATGGGTTTTTGTTGATGTAAAGTCTCATCCTCAGCCTTGGGTACTCTACTTTCAGCGTAGATGAGAGTCTCCGCTCCTGCTCCCGCTCCTGCTCCTGCTCCTGCTCCGGCTCCTGCTTCTGTTTGGGTTGAGGAGAGGCGATGACCGCTAAGAGTTAACGAATAATTGCCAACCCCGAATTCCTATCTATTGGGTTAAACTCTAATCGGGGCTCTGAACGACTTCAGCTGCTGCTTCTGCTTTGGGATGGGTGGGATGCTTTGGAGGCAGGAACGACAAAAGACACGTATGTATAACATAACATAACATAACATAACATAACATAACATAACATAACCAAACATAACACACCCAACCATAACATAACATAACATAACATAACATAACATAACATAACATAACATAACATAACGTTTGGTCACTTTCTGTAGTAGGTAGGATTGCGAATTGCTTGTACTGGTGGCGATGATGATGGTTATCGGCGAGGATAATGGTCCTTACGGGGATGGTACTGGCGATGATGACGGTATTGGCGATGTGTGATGATGGTACTGGCAATGGATGGTCTTGGCGATGGTGATAGTACTGGCGATGATGATAGTACTGGCGATGACGACGGTATTGGGTATTGGCGATGTGTGACGATGGTATTGGCAATGAATGGTCTTGGCGATGATGATAGTACTCGCGATGATGATGGATGATGATGGCACTGGCGATGATGATGATAGTACTGGCGATGATGATGATAGTACTGGCATGAGTTGTCTCATGGTGGAATGGGATAATGAAATCAGTCTTGCAAATTCACACTCAAACATGCATGCAACAGATGAGAATAACTTGGCGCTGTGCAACCAACTCAAACTCGGAGATATGGTAGCTTGCAACTCAACTCAAATCCAAGTTTACTTCAGTTGACTATGGCGCTGGGCGCCCACACTTACACGTTCGACTCAGAGTTCACACGCAACTCGACTCCGGATCACCCTGGATACCATGCACGCCAACCACTGCACACACACATACACACTCACTAACTGTCTATGGCTATGGCGCATGGCCACTAACACCTAACTAGCCTATCACTAACTTCTGCCCACTTCGTCTTCAGGCCATCTGCAGACCTCCCTTGCACAAGACGCCCGAGCAGCGCTTCCGCAGAGCTTCCGCAGGAATGAATGAATGGCTGGACGCAGCCTCTTGATTTATACTTCTGTGTTGCATTCGTTTGCCTTGCATCCCTGGCCCATGAGGCACACAGTCCCCCCCCGTGGTACTTGCTGGACCGGACTGGTACTTTCTAGACTTTCCCATGACTGCATGGTGACAACCCTACGACGCAGTGCAGTCGCACTGGGATCCTACTATTTGCCCTCGCCACTTGTCCTCGTCTCCAACATGGGCTTGCTTTAGTCACACCACTTGACCACTTGCCAACCTTCTAGAAGGACTGCAGCTGGACTTCTACTCTACAGGTCTATGGATCAAATCCTGGCTACCTAAGGACCTACGACAGACCTACTTACCACTGGCGGTTCTACAGGTCGCAGGTTCAATTCTTCAAGTGGTCACAGATATTGTACACAGGTAAGTTGGGGAACTAGGGATCGAACCCTGGGTCCTACATCAGCTACTTCGAACTGGTGAATACCGTTTCAATAATTTGCTTTGCAAATTATTTCTGTCGATCATGTGGTTGGTCGATAATCACCACGTTCATGCTCTACGACGATCAGTGTACACGTGGCAGCAGGCGGCTTTCGCTGGGCCACTCTTTGCTTGGGAATAGGGATGGGAATAGGTATGGGAAATGGGATGGGAATGGGACGAACCGTTAGTAGGTAGGACCAAAACCGCCTGATCCAAAAAAAAAAAGAAAAAAAAGAAAAGGAAAAAAAAAAGCATTCGGCATCTCGCCCATGTATGCTGCAAACGTAACGCCAAACCACATCCATTTCCTTTCTTTCTTTCTTTTTTTTTATTCTTTTTTTCTTTTTCCAAATTGGTTTTGCTCATGGCGGTGTGGAACAGGAAGGAGCAACTTCGGGCACTTTGGACAGATACGCCTCCTCGAGAGTGGGATTCCCCATTTGCTAGTTTTTTTATTTTTTTTTATTTTTATAAGTAAATGAGCTGATGTCGAAGTTCGAGAGCTTTTGCCTATGGCTGCTTTTGCAGATTGCCAGATACCATCGTGCGTGTATTTGCTTGTCTTAAAAAAGTCGTCGTTGTTGCTTTTTTTCTTTTTTCTTTTTTTTGAAACAATGGTGGGTAGCGGCTAACCATTATTATTATTATTATTCTGTCCGTCAGGATTGCGACTCATCATCTGTTTATCCGCAGTTACATTGTTCTGTCTATCATTGAGCCACCAGGGGGAAGGCGTCTGAGTGTTTGATAGGATAGCTAACCCCTGCTCGTGAACTGCGACTTGCCAATCAATGCGTTTCCGTTTTAGGAATGTGAGAGGTAAAAGTGCATGCCAGAACCATGTCTTCTTCTTTTTTGTTTCTTGGCAGAGTGGACATGTGTACAGGGCTTAGTGTTTAACCTGGGCAGGAATGTTCAGCCTTGTTTCGTTCTTAAAACTCCATGTGTGCAGGGTTTAGGGTTTTACCGTCTTAGGAATGTTCGGCCTTGTGTATATTCTTTTTTCTTCAAATGGCTCCATGGGTACAGGGTGTAGGGTTTAGGTTCTTACCGTTTTAGGAATGTTCGGCCTTGTGTTTATTCTTTTTTTCTTCAAATGGCTGCACGTGTTCAGGGTCTAGGGTTTAGGCTCTTACCCTCTTAGGAATGTTCAACTTTGTGTATATTCTTTTTTCTTCAAATGGCTCCATGTGTACGTACAGGGTATAGGCCCTTCAGGGTCTTACCGTGGAGGAATGTTCAGCCTTGTGTATATTCTTTTAGGCCCTTCAGGGTGATTCTAGAAATGTTGAGCCTTTTGTATATATAATATATATCCTTTCTTTCTTTCTTTCTTTCTTTCTTAAAATCGCTCCAGGCAGGGGCAGGACTGCTGGTGGGGCAGAGTCAACATGCTCCCACTCACTTTCTCTGCCTCCGGAGAGGCGACCAGAATGTGCCCTTTAATTAATGTCGACCTTTTTTTTTTCTTTTTTTTCTTTTTTTCTTTGTTAATGGTCCGATGGACCGCACAGATCAGATATCAGACTGACCAAAACAGATACGACACTCGATCTATTTTTAGCCATTTTTAGCCGAAAGGCCGAGAAAGGTATATTGTCAACTTTAAAATATAAATAAATTTGCAGCTTTCAGTTGAGAAGGGTAGTGGTAGCAGGAATGAGCTTGTCGTTGTTGTTATATTGACCCAACGTACCATCATCTGGTCAATAGAATGTAATACGTATGGTCATTATATCCGTATTTGGTGCTACTTTCAGTCCGGGGACCAGGGTAACCAGCGTTCGCGATGGGCCGAACGCCCGAACCCGAACGCCCGAACGTATGGGACCCCTTGGGGATGCGTTCGGCCGTTCGGGCCGAACGCGGACCCAAAAAAAAAGAAAAAGAAAAAAAAAAAAAAAAAAAAAAAAAAAAAAAAGGTTCTGGGGAGTGCTTCTTTTGTTTCTTTTTTAATTAGGTTCTGGGGCCCTATCCTTTCCTTTCCTTTCCTTTCCTTTCCTTTCCTTTCCTTTCCTTTCCTTTCCTTTTCCTTTCGTTTCTTCCTTCCTTCCTTCCTTACCCCGGTGATTCTCTTTGCTTTGTTTTTCTTTTTTTCTTTCAATGCAATCAATAAAGATGTCGTGTGGTACCAGAGAGAGGGAGTGCACCTTATACTGTCCTGTCCTGGACCCGGGTGTGGACTGGAACGATGCTATGCTCTGATAACCCCTTGCAGGTAGGTAGGTTTGCGATCTGAGGCAAAGGGCAGAAACTGGAAGAGTGAGGATTGAGCTCAGCCGGGGGAGCAAAAAGAGCTGGAGAGAGAATAATTGAACATTATCAATATTATCAGGACAAGATGGAAGTGATTTCCTATAATGGCCACTCAAGTTTGCAAAGGATAAACAAACAAGCGACGGTGATGGGAAGTTGGGAGCAAGGGAAGGAGGTGCAAGGCGAGAACGCAGCAGGGAAGGAAAACTTGAGAAAGGTAAGAACTTACTAAGAAGTTACGAAGAACTCTCTAAGTCCTTTGCATAACAGAAAAATGCCATGGTGACATCATTTTCCTTGCCAAGTTTTTTCTCATGTATGACACTTTTGCTTGCGGTCTATTTTCCACCTAGGGAAGGCTGCAGGTATCCATTTCCCAATTTGTTTTCGTGGCCATGATGGAAAACTTTGAGAATATAATATATACGCATATATTTGACGATATATAGTATATAATCATATTGTAATGTACACCTAGGTTCCCAGACTCGCCTGGGACCACTTGCCTGGCCGGGCTAAAGAAGAAAGGAAGAAAGAAAAAAAAGGTCTAATTTTTAGTTTTATAACTTTTATGTTTAATTTGGTACAGACTTTCTATGTGACCCTGAGGCCGCATAACATAGTTTTCATTTTCGGATTTTTTATTTTTTTTTGCAGGGACCTTCCCTGACCCTTGCCCAGCCGAGCTGCCCGGGCAACCAAGGTCACCCGGGTGGCCTTGGCTGGTAGCCCAGATATTTACATATATTCCGTGTCTATCTAGGTTGTTTTTCCGGGCGCCCGAGCACCTAAAAGGGCCTTTACGAATTAGACCCCAGAAGAACACCCCAACAGTGAGGGGCCCTGTCGGCCAGAACTTAAATTCACGAGCAGCAACTCAAAAGACGAAGTTCCCTGAGGCATATGTCGCATCCGTAATGAAATGAAAAGTCGTTTCGAACAGTCACAAACAGGTCCTGCACGAACAGGTATCGGACACAGTTTTCAAGACTGAGTTAGGGTCATGTCTCCTCGATGAAAAGTCATGTCTGTTCGGTAATAAGTCAAAGGCTACAGTCCCAGTTCAGTCATAATCCCACGAGTCAGTCCTGATTTAGACCCGGAATCCAAAAGACAGGCCGATGGCCCAAAGCAGCAGCAGACCATGGGAAAAGATACTGGGACACACACTTTGCAACAACGGGTACTGGGCAGGAGTCCCAGGGACACTTGAGGCTGAACGCAGGCCACGCCAGACCAGTCCAGCACTATAAAGGACTGGCCAGGCTCCCATTTGGATAGATGCGCACTTCGCATGAGAGTGTGGAAGTGCCGTGGCACTTGTGCGCTAGATGTGTGTGAGCTGCGCCAGGCTGAAGAGCAGCGCTATGTGGGAAGGAATAGAGTGCTGGCTAGAGGGAAGGCAGCCACAGCTGCGCCAGCGCTAGTTAGTATGTTAGTAGGGATAGTCAGTAGAAGATACCAGTGAGTAGTATTCAGAATAGATCCTCGTGTGATAGGGAGTACGCAAGCATGATGAGTGAGGGTAGACCAGGACTATAGACACAGAGGGAGAGAGTGAAGAAGGCAGACGAGAGAGGGGGTAGTGTGAGCTATGGTGACACTTACCTGTCTGTCTCTTATACACATCTAGATGTGTATAAGAGACAGGTCCAGCACTATAAAGGACTGGCCAGGCTCCCATTTGGATAGATGCGCACTTCGCATGAGAGTGTGGAAGTGCCGTGGCACTTGTGCGCTAGATGTGTGTGAGCTGCGCCAGGCTGAAGAGCAGCGCTATGTGGGAAGGAATAGAGTGCTGGCTAGAGGGAAGGCAGCCACAGCTGCGCCAGCGCTAGTTAGTATGTTAGTAGGGATAGTCAGTAGAAGATACCAGTGAGTAGTATTCAGAATAGATCCTCGTGTGATAGGGAGTACGCAAGCATGATGAGTGAGGGTAGACCAGGACTATAGACACAGAGGGAGAGAGTGAAGAAGGCAGACGAGAGAGGGGGTAGTGTGAGCTATGGTGACACTTACCTGTCTGTCTCTTATACACATCTAGATGTGTATAAGAGACAGGTCCAGCACTATAAAGGACTGGCCAGGCTCCCATTTGGATAGATGCGCACTTCGCATGAGAGTGTGGAAGTGCCGTGGCACTTGTGCGCTAGATGTGTGTGAGCTGCGCCAGGCTGAAGAGCAGCGCTATGTGGGAAGGAATAGAGTGCTGGCTAGAGGGAAGGCAGCCACAGCTGCGCCAGCGCTAGTTAGTATGTTAGTAGGGATAGTCAGTAGAAGATACCAGTGAGTAGTATTCAGAATAGATCCTCGTGTGATAGGGAGTACGCAAGCATGATGAGTGAGGGTAGACCAGGACTATAGACACAGAGGGAGAGAGTGAAGAAGGCAGACGAGAGAGGGGGTAGTGTGAGCTATGGTGACACTTACCTGTTGAGCGCTGTTGTTGACATTTGACAGCTGGCGCTGATGAGCGCCAGGCTTGGAACTCATGTTGATCAAAGAAGACTTGTAATCTCTGTTCAGCACTATACACTTTGAACTCACGATGTTCTCTCTCTAATTCTGGGTTTGATAATTGAGTTGATCTTCCTGGTTCTCATTTGCGAGGCACAAGGCCTCGATAAGCCCAAGAGGCCTATTTTGGACTACTACGCAACTGGGAAAATTCAGGCAGTTGCGCAGTGCCAGTCGGTTGGAAGCACCCCGGGCCCAGGCTGCCTTTCATTGCATGTAACTGAGGCAAGGCCTGGGCCGGATACACAAAGTGGACCGAACAAAGGCTGAGGGCAGTTGGGTGCTGGTAACCGCCTCAGGCCCTGGGCCTGTTTCCTTCGGACTGAGGCTCAGCCTCCCTGGGCCTACCGGAAGCTTCTGGGCTTGGGCCCAGTACCGCAGCACAGCACACAGCAGCAGGCCACTTCGATATAGGGAAGGGCCTGTCCACGCATTGGACATTCGGGCACTGGCTGCATGCTGCGCAAGCGCTGCTGCGCTAACACTGGCCAGGCTCACGCGCTCACGGGCGAGCTGGAAGGAGCAGGCAGCCATAGCCGAGCTGCACTGCTGTATGCTGGATGGGGCGCATGGTGGTCCTTGGGTGCAAGTGGCATCTGTGAGTTGGGGAACGAGGTTATGAGTGATACGAGAGACATACCTGGTGCTTGAAGCATGCGGCATTGGCCGAGATCTGCTCGTACTTCGGGGAGCTGTTGACGTCATCAGCGGCATTGTAGAGTAGGCTAGATAGGATCTGCCATCTGTAGTCTGGGCGCCGAGCGCCAGATAGGACATCAACATTGGTTCTTCGTTGATGATGATGATGAGACTATTCCAGCATTGTCAATTATGAGCTTTTGGTGTGCTCGTATGTGGTGAAACTCGTGATGCAATTCTGCTTTTGGTTCGAGGTCATGACTATCTGGTCTCATGTGTATGATACTGTTTGATTGCTGAAGTTCGCTATTGCTCATCTTCCTTGCACATTCATTTTCTATTGGGTTTTGTGTGAGACTTCGCAAACTGTGAAATCAGTGTATATGCATGTGATCTGATGCACTTCAGCAAGCGATGAACAGTTGGGTTCCTTGCACACCCAACTTGTGCCCGGATACACGCCCGTGTGCCCGGCCGGGCATGATCCCCGGGCAGCCCCAGCGCCAAAAAAAAAAAACAAAAAAACAAAAAAACAAACCGAAAGTCAAAAAATTCCAAAAAAAAAAATGTTGTGTAGAATTGCAATACAAACAACTTTTGGCTGAGGAGTAACAATTATCTCTTCCCTGGAGAGGGGTGCGGCGAGTCTTCCGGCAGCGTTAGCGCTAGCGCTCTGCGACACTGTTGAGGTTGTTCGCGGCCGCCAGGGTTGACGCCGCCTAAAGACTCAAGGCCGGGGGGGGCACGGCGGTTGGCGCCAGGTGTGCGCTAAGTTAGTGTCTTCGGGCAGTACCGAAGCAACCATCACCATGAACCACCGTCACGATGGTCACGGTGTCTTTTGCCTTCGTTCTCGGTAACTTCCGAGCGTCTCCTTGGGCGGGAGGTAATAAGGTTGTCCCCGGTTAGGTAGGGTTTTTTTCTCCATGCGAAGATTTGGACCATGTGAAGATTTTGTAGGTGCTGGAAGAGTTGTGAGAGATAGCAGTGGGTGTGCGCCGACCTCCGGCGCCCGCCTTTGACGCGCTTAGTCCTTCTTTCCTTTTGACCATCGAGGAGAAGTGGAGGGAGAGCCCAGGTAACGCAGAGTCCTCTTTACCAACAGCCTGGCAGCGTCGACATGGCGTCCCAGGATGCAAGGGCGGCAGCCGACCAAGGCAGAGGAAGATCACCCCCAGTGAACTCGGACATCCCACTGTCAGACGAAGATTGGTTAAAGCTCCTGATCTCCAAGTGTTACGATGACGGTGTCCTCCCTGAGAAATTTCGACATGGGGAGTGGGTTATTGAGGGAGGTGTTTGTACATTTGTGAATTCAACCCTAGACTGGACGAGCTGACTACAAGCTGGCTGAAGGAACGAACCGTCACCATCATTTTCCAAGGAGCGGCTTGGGATTTGCCGACGCGGGTTCGAGAAGATCTGGTGAGAGCGTACGAAAATGGGTGGTATCGCCAGCGTATCTTCGACCGTAGCACGAGGCGTGGAAGAGTTCACGCCGAAGGGCCTAACGTCATCTCTTATGTCGCAAGGTCAAGGGAAGTCGCCCAGTGGATGGTGGCTAAAGCGGAGGATACTATCGTAATTCGAGGAGTGGAATACTCCATGCAATTTAAGCTGTGGATGACAAAGTCTGAATTGGACGAGCGAAGGCGAATGGAGGACGAGTCCAAGTTCTGGGTGATGGCGATAAGGGTGCCCCTCCGGGTAATGTTTCATGTTGAGAATATGGTGGAGACGTCTATGGGCAGAGTGGTAAAGAGCCTTCCCCCGGAACAAGACAAGACACGACCTAAACTTATGAATCTCAAGTTTGATCTTGTAAAGGAGGCAGAAGACAGCTTCGAACCGGAGCTTTCGATTCGGCTGGGCAGGGAGGTATTCAAAATCCAGTTTGTGTGTAAACACACACCATGGTGTGAGAGATGCAGATGGTGGTTCCACACCTCGACTGATGGTTGTCCTCGCACAGGCGAAAGTGACGATGAAGATCAGGAGGGCCAAAGACAAGGCAGCAATAGGCAAAGACAACAGACTGGAGATCGCCACATACGAGAAGCGGCCAGGGATGAGTCAACTCAAGCTCCTAGGCAGGGAGGCAGAGCTCAGGGTCTGGAGCAAACCGCCGCCAGGAGAGTCTTCCAACATCAGACTACAGGGAGAAGTAGTGAGGCGGGCCGTCAGGCATCCGGTGGAGGAAGAGAGCCTAGTCGCCCAGGATCTCAAAATCCAAGGGGCGTCGCTGACTGCGGTGCACGATACCTTTCGGGAGGCGGGCCTTCATACACTCCTCTTCCTCGTGAGAGGGATGCAGGGTTCCGTCCGTATGTCCCGTTGAGACCCCCACCATGGTATGAACAACAACAAAGGTCTCTCGGTCCATTGGCCAACATGTATCACAACTGGTTTCAAAACGACTACGGTATGGGTTCGGGACTGAACTACAGAGTGTACGGTAGAGGAGCTCTTGTGCCTTCAGGTACATCGACACCAAGGGAGCAGCAGGACAGGGGACTGTTTCAAGAAAGAAGCGTTGTGAGGGATGTAGCCCGAGGCCATGAGCTATCTCACAGACCGGAGGAGGAACTACATGAAGAAGGAGAAGCGGATTCTCAAGACACGCCAGCACCCTCCCCATTAAGGGATGAGGGGATGGACGAGTCGCCAAGGGATATCCCCATCGGGGATTCGACTGCGGGCTGTGACGAACCTCCGTTTGAGGAACAAATGGCGAGGAAGCATTTGTAATTGGCCTGCTAGATAGAGAGGGTAACACAGTGCTGCCTGCTACGGGGTTGAATGAGATTCCAATGCCCTCTCATTCAGGAGCAAGTGCGCTATTTGTACGCCAATAGATTCAACTTTCGTTTATTCCCAGAGTTCTTGATGCCCAAACTTAGAACAGCGGTTTCAGGGAATAAGGTAGTGTGGTACACAGTAGTGTTTATCAACGCAAGATTGCCGGTAGAAGCATGGGTCAATCTGAGTCAGGTGGGTCTTGGCTCATTTCCTCTCCACGCACTGTCCCAGCCCTTGATAGATCTGCTCTCAAACATCATCATCGAACCGGGTGTCTCAGCCGCATGTCTCGTGGATCTCAGCCCAAACATGCCACGAGCTAGTAACTTGACCTCTACTTTGTTCATGCAATGTCTGACGGCCAGATGGCCTGCCCAAGGCACAAGGACAACGGATGAGGAATTGAGGGGTGCTAACCCTCTCCCTGCAGATATCCAATTTGATGGTTTGAACGACACATCCAATGGGTAGCATTTGGGTGGCTTTGTGGAATGTACAGGGCCTAGGGGACCTAGTGGGAGGGGTGAAAGGATGCAAGCTCAAATCGTGGATACATAAAAAGAGGATTGATGTGGCCCTGATTCAGGAAACTAAACTGTCCGAAGAGAAACTTCTGCAGCTTAAAGACTGGTGGGATGGCCCGCAGCTGTGGTCGCCTGCAAGAAGATCAAAAGGCGGCGTGGCCATCCTGATCCACAGAAAGGTGGAAGCTCGCCTAATAGACTGTGACAACGATGCCTGGGGCAGATGGTGTTGGGTGAAACTGGCGATAGGTGATCAAGATTGGGTGTTTGCAACAGTTTATGCACCTAATCTCGAAAGGGAAAGAGGGCTTTTCTTCGAAACTCTTCCCCTTGTGCTCCCGAAGCACGATAGGCTGTTAGTAGCGGGGGACTGGAATGTAGTGAGGTGCCTAGCCCTCCGAAACAGACAAGGGGGAGAAGCAGGATCGAACGAAGCTGCTGAGATGGCAAGAAGCCTGGGAGCTGGTGGACGTCTTCAGGGAACTGTATCCACAGGACCCTGGCTTCACATGGGTAGCTCGCTCAGCGCATATGGCAGGTGTGAAAAGAAGACTGGATTATTTCCTAGTCTCAGCTGCGGCCTCTAGCGATGTCATGAGAATTGTGGCAGCCAACGAGTCCTTCTCGGACCACAAATCACTAGTTTTGGACTGCACCAGCGCACCCACAAAAGATCGAGGCCCTGGGTATTTCCGGTTGAACACTGCCCTTCTGGAGGATGAAGGCCTGAAGCGCTGGGTAAAGGAGTTCTGGAGAAACTGGAAAGATGCCAAGTTCCAGTTCGAGTCGCAGGCTGAATGGGCCGACGCAGGAATCAGGATAATCTCCCTGAGGCTAGACTCGTACTCCCAGATTGCAGCCTTCAGTCGCAACAGGGAAGAACGGGCGCTGAAGGAGAGTGTGGAGGAGGCAGAGGAGAAGATCGGCCAACACCCAATATCAGACCTTTTTTGGTCTGAGGAAAGGGCAAAAAGGTTGAGGCTGTGGGACGAACACCAAAATCGGAAAGAAGAACGCAGGCACCAGATATTGAAGGTTAAAGGGATTTTTTCCTCATATAGAATGACGAAACAAACTTTTCAGAGATTGCTCCCAAAGAACTGAGACATCCCTATCATCTGGGTCTCCTGCTTGCGAATACTAATGATGAGATGTGCAGGTACGCCGTAGACTATTCCGAAGACAGCATGACGACCAGAAGGCCGTACGATACCATGGATGATGACATGTCCCTGATGTCACCGCTCTGGAATAACTTCACAGTTCGGCTCACTGCAGAAGGAAGACTCTGGCTGGACAGACCAGTATCGGAGGAGGAACTGGCTCAAACAGTTAAGATCATGGCACGAGGCAAAGCCCCAGGCGACGACGGCCTCCCGATTGAGTTCTTCGCTTGCAGCTAGAATTTCGCTGCGGTGGGACAGAACTACTCCGTCTCTGGCCCCTCCAGCTGAACATGAACTAACCAGGCTCTGGGCACAACTGAAAGACATCCCGTCTCAAAAGCTTGCCTCTTTACTTTGGCTCCAATCACACCTAGCGATCCCCACCGCCACCTGGCTAGCAGACAGAGGAATGGACGTAAACAAGTTGTGTGACCACTGTCAGACCCAAGAGGAGACTATAGAGCATCTCTGGTGGAGCTGTCCAAAATCAAGGAACTGGTGGAGGTGGTGGGAAATGCATTGGAAGAGGATCACCAACCAACCTGGTCTGGTAGGGCAGCGTTGGGTACTGCTAGGTGCAGTTCCTCAAGGGCTAAGTGTCCCAGAAGGTTGGGGCTATATAGCCCAAGTGGGACGGGCCATTATGTTTTGGGTGATCTGGTCAGACAGAAACAGTCTTTGGTTTCAGAAGGAAAGCTGGTCGGAGGCTCAGGCAGAAGCCACCTTCATAGCCATGCTCGCCACAACAATCAGGGCTGACTGGTCACGACGGGTAAAACAAAGTAACCGGATCAGCGGGTTATCCTGGTTCTGGAAAACTTAGTGTTCCGGCGGTCGGCTGGCTCATTTGTCTCCCGAAGGTAACCTGGTACTGTGCAGGTGGATTGAGCAACGGTAGATAGGACAGCAGGGGCAGGGTTTGGTAGTTTTTCCGAACCAGGACACTCGGTTCGGGGCCGTCTTTAGACTTCGGACCGCAGGAGGTCAACAAGGGGAGGGAGGTGGTAGAGTGTCACGGGCACCCGGAACTACCAAGTTCCACCCGGCCGATGTAGGGCCGGTTGCAGGCCGGTCTAGGCCTTGTCGGTAGGTTACTGGTAAGTAGGGTAGGTTAGTCCGGGGTACTAGGTTTAGATGCAGTAGTTTAGCTTCAGATGTTAGCAGTTGGTTAGATTGGGTCCCAGGGAGAAGGATGATGCTAAAACGGTTTGGCAGTACTATTAACAAGAGGAGGGTGATAGATATAGAGTAGAAGTTGGTCACAAGTAAGAATGTTTCTGTGTTTCTGATTGATACAAAGGAGGACCGTACTGTGATCATGCTGAGAGGCTTATAAGCTAAATCGGCTGATGCTGCCTAGATAACTCCGGGTTGAATTGTGAGGTCCCCGACCTCGATTGATTCGCTTTGATAATGAATGCACATCCTTAAAGAAAAAAAAAAAAAAAAACTTTTGGCTGAGGGTCACATCAGAATTCCTCACCGAATTGGAGATAAAAAAGAAAATAACAAAATCACACCCACCCTCTAAACCCCCTTAGCCCCTTTAAAAACAATTTATACCCCCCTTCCCCCCCCTTGACAGCCAACTCTCAAAAAATGAAAAGAGCCTGGATTTGGGGTCCTTTGGGAGAGCGCAGAAAGGCAAACATATATATACTAGCTAAGCGCCCGCGGTGCGGGCGGTGCGGGCAATGCCCGCAAAAA